GTAGTTGCCGGTGGCTAGGTTGCGTTAAAGAGAATAAGAAGATATAAGAGAGACAGAAGAGAATTTTCATAAACTCATGGACTTCAAGTGAAAGAAATCTGCTTTGTATTTGTTCGAAGCAAGCGGGCATTGGAGTCAAGTCACAACCCTATTTGGCTTATAGCTTTTTCTTAAAAGAGTACTGGACGGAGAGTACAAGTGGTACTACCTTCCTCACGATAGCACAGCTGGATCAGCATATCTCTCTATTAATTTATGGCTACACAATGTTTTTCCTTGTTTTTTTTTTTTTTTTTGGTGTTATTGATAAAAAAGTGAGAGCACCCAAAAAATTACTTTGATATTTCTCAGTAGTGAAATCATGAGATCTCTTATCGTACTCATTATATTTCTCAAAAAAAAAATTTAATTAGATTAATATAACGATAAACCACTGCACTTCAATATAAACTTCAATAATATCTACATTCGTAAATGTAATCGATGAATTATTCTTTCCAAAATATAGTAAAAATGATGCCTCCAAACCACAACGACCCACGATCATACTGAAATTAGTATAATTACAGAGTGGAGTTCTAGTTCAATTAAATGAGATTACAATAAAATAAATATATTTAAAATGGATAATAATATCCTTTTGTTACAGGAGTTGCCAGCAAAACCGAATCAAATTTAAATAGGAGGGGATTGGACTATTTCTTTGTCAATTAAGTCTCTAACAGAGGACTTATAGTCCATCCAAGTTAATTAAAGATCGCTTGCGTGGTACTAAATATGTTGGATTTAATCCTTTCCCTCTCCCCAGTAGTAGTATAGTGCAGTTTTGCACCATTATTACGAAGAAAAAAAAAAAGTGTCTCTAGCGGGAGACCAGACCAGCATGGCAAACGCCGTGTTGTTTGCAGAAACGAGTAGGCCTATTTTGGTCTGGGTCTACTTGAAGCAAGCTCGTGCGGATCATATGGCTCCATTACACCTATTGGACTTGAATAATGTTACATGGAGTTAGTCCAACGTTCCATTAACGAAGAGCTAAATTAGAAGTACAATGAGAGATGATTTGACTCACAAAGAGTGCAAGAAGAGTAAAGACGCAGGTAGACAAATCCTTTTAAGGTTGTTTGGATGACAGAAGTTTAGCCAAATTTTGAGTTTAAGTTTGGTAAAAAAAAATATAGTTTAATGTTATTGAAACATAAAAAACTAATATAATTTATTGACAAAATAAAATTATCTTTCCGAAACTATTCCCAACTTCCAAACCACACGAATGGTAAAAGTTACGCCAAAATAGCTGCTTAATTTAGGTACCATATGGTACCTTTTTATAGGTAAAATTTTCAAGCAAAAAAAGTAATTTAAAAAAAAAATCATTTTTTTCTTGTAGTGTCAATTAATATTTTTCGACAGTGATGTAAATAAATTTAGCATATAAATAATATACTCAATATACGTATATGTATGCATATTATTGAACATCTAATTAACGTTACAAGAATTAGTAAACTCCAACAAGAAAAATTAAAAAGTAATACAACAATACAAACATAAACATTACTTACAAAAAGTATGTAAAATTTTTTTTAAAAAAAATTTATAAGCGTAACCAAATAGCACCTTAACAACGATGCCCCCAGCAGCTAGGCTGAAGTTGGGCTAGACCCGCCCATTATGAATTTGGGTCGGGGCTGAGGGGAATGATCTTTCAGTTTGGGACTCCATCCTTCCTTTAAAACCGGAGGGATCCGAACATACACAAAGCCCAGTAGATGGGCTTTCGTTCTATTCCTTGAAGAAATTCTACAGGGTTGTAAATGGACCAGTACTTATGCTTTCTGATCCAACTTAGGGTATTTTTTTTTTTAGGGCGGGGGAAAGGGGCTTAAACGCTTAACTTTAAGAAGATAAAATTTTCATAAGGTAAATAATACAATTGGACTAAAAGTCCGTTAGTCCACCGTAGGGTATTAATTCTTAATATTACGCTTTAATATGATACATAATTGATATAAAATTAACAAATTTAAGGTAATTGTACTTAAAATGGTCGAAAATGACACGATTCGCAACATAAATAGTAAATGGTTTCAAATAAAATTAAATAGTAATAATAATTAAAAAAAAATGAACTCAATAACCTCACTTTAACCAGTAATGTGAATACAATGTCTAATTGTTTATTTTTTGTTTCTCTCATATTAAATAAATCGTTGTAGAATTAGATGATTTTTTTAGTTGGTTTTTGCTTGTACCTTGATCAAGCCGATTTTAATCTATGGAATTTGTGGATGGTGAGTTTTATTATAGGAAAAGGAAAATCTAGTATTGAGTTTCTGGTTTCTGAGTTTGCTTGTTGACCCAAAAATTACAGCAGCGCAAGGTCATCTAACAAAATCAATTAAATGAATTAGCTTAGAATGACTAATATGTTAATATAATCATATAAATCTAAAATAACACCAAGTAAATAATACACGACTACTTGGTAATCCTCATTCATCTCAACCAGGTCCTCTCACTTCAAGTGATGTTCTTGGGCCTTCTATATTTATGGAAGCAAGCTCACTTAAACAATATCTCTATTACTATTTCTCATCTCTTTCTTTCTATTTTTTTTTTTTTTGGGTCAGAAGATAACGAAGTTTAAACCATAATCATTTTAAAGTCCATAAGCAAAGACAGTGGCCATTTGACCAATAACATCAGTATGTGTCACATCTCTCAATGCATTCAATTTGCATGACAAAAAGAGCCATTGAACATTCACTATCATTTCATATTTATCCATACAATTGTTTTCTAAAGCCATTTAAAAACATTTGCATTTATGATTGTACTTTGGATTTAACTCTCTGTCCATTAATCTAGTATGAGAGATACAGTTATACCAATGTACATATTATAAAGTATTTTGGGATTGCTGTTAGCCTTGATCCTAACATTAAGGGAACAAACTGAGAAATAAAAGCATTCATTTCTCAGACTTGTTTCACACATTGATCCTTTGTAAGTTAAACCCTCTGCTTATGAAGTTATAATGATAAATGGAATTATTCCCACCATATTATTTCATTGTCAATTGATTAATTATTCCATGGAAAAATGGGCAAAATACGAAGTTTTTAGAAAAATTTGTACTTATTGTATACTTTAGAGATCCACTTTAATATAATTTTTTTTTTCAGTTTTTGTGCAAGTGTGATAAGGAATATTAATATTCAAACTAGAATTGTTCTGATCGTCGCAGGTGCTACTTTATCAATCAAAGAGGTTGCCCATTACAATCTTTGTAAAACCAATAATTCATAATAAAAAGAAAAATGGAATGGAGAAGGAACAACAACAGACCAGGCAATATGTCGTCTGCCTCAAGTTCTTAATAATTGTATAATGGTGGAAGTTAGGTGTGGGCCTTTGAATATGGCTTTCCCAAAGTCCCATATGAGTCACAGACTCAGAGCAGCCACTTCTTTATCACCATTAGCAGCAAACCCCAGGGTCCAACCAGACACACAGTCAACCAGAGAGCTGGTGTGATGGGCACCAACACCATGTAAAGTAAATGATTAGTTCAGTAGGGATTTTTTTCCATCTTTTTTTTTTTTTTTTGTTGGGGGCTGTGTGTGTTGGGGGTGGGGGACTTAACATTAGTCTATCAACAACAACAAAAAAACACTGGTTTGCATTCTCTCTTTTTGTTCCTGGCAAAGGGACTGTCTTGTGCCATGAAGATTTTCAGAAAGAAACTACAAAAATAAAGAGCAAGGAATGAACATAAAGGTTGAAATAAAAGATAACAACACCCAATTTCTTTCCTCACGACTCTTTTTTCTTTTGTTTTTCCTCCTTTTTTGGTGGTTTTTTCCCTCCTATAAACCAATGGAAACTTGCAGGCTACAAAAAAAAGTACCCAACAAAAACAAAACAGATGTATTTTTTTTCCATTTCCTGTTGTTTTGGACAAACTTTTTCCCATACTGTTGCTGTTAAGAAATCTAATATTTAACAGCTGATGACACTTTCTATCATGCCAAGGGGATGGAACATTTCCTATTCCATTTTCCATCCTCCATCCATGAATCAACTTACTGAACTATCCTTTGTGCAACCATTTTGTTCTTCATAATCATTTTGGGTTTTCGATTTTCTTTCTGGATGCACCTTCACTACCACACCAAACCTCCCATTCAACAAAATCGGATTGGATTCAAGAGAGAAGTGACATATATACTGATCACCACATCTAAAACTCCAATTCAGGTCTGTTTAGCTTCCTCCTTTTAGTATCTGGACTATTATGAGAAGAATTTGCACATGATCCAACTGGTGTATCATCAGTTTTATAGCTCAAGCATGCAGCTTCCAGCACACCAATTGGACTTCGGGGTACCGATCCGACCCAAGCATTTAAACTTCTATTTGATCCACTTAACAAAGATGAATCGTGCAGCAGTTCAACACACCCAAGCACTCTCTCCTGCAAAACCAAATAAGATAAACCAAAAACCCAAATTTTATTAATTTTTTATGAAGTGTTTGGAAATCAAGCTCAAATGATAAGAGAAAAGTAATTTCATCATTTGTGTCCTATTAGTTTTTGGACTATAAACGTTACCTTTTCTACATGTTGAGTGAGAACAGATAATGCTTTCTCAGAGCCTACTGTTGGATTTTCTCCTGCAACAGACATTGCCACTGCTGCTGCAATCTCAGAAGGCCTGAATTCCAAAAATTCAATTCCTGCAATGCATTCCCACCCACTCAAATATTAGTCTTAGCCTCTCTTCAATATTCTTTTTTCTTGATTCTTAATACAGGGCAACAAACACAATAGACATCACATAATACAAGCAAATATTACTTACTATATACAAGAGAACAGAGGTATATTTACCATTCATTGTGCTTAATATGAGTTGGGTTGATCTAATGATTGAAGATCTTGAAGTGATTTGATCACCATTTATCTTTCTAAGGAAATAATCTATGAAAGAGAATGGGGTGACTGCTTGCATTCTCCACTTCAATGTGCTCAAGACAAGAAGCTCCATTCTCTGAATGGTTCTAGCTTCAAATATAAATTTCGATTCAGCCACCTGCCAAATACTTGTAATCATCAGAACCATCAAATAGAAACAACTAAGATTTCATGAAGATGTACAATTATTTGCATATCTATTTACCTGTAAATCTATACATAGAGGAACTTCAGTCTCCTCCATTTTGGCTGCCAGAGACAAACAAGCTACAGCCAACAACTGCATCATCCAAGCCTTCCCTCTCTGAAAATAGCACATTTACAAGAGCAGATGGAATGAAATCAGCAATTCATCGGAGGAACTTGAAACCATATAATTAGTAAAACAGGGGATAATATGGGTTTAGAATTTGATCATGAACTTACAGGTAATTCATAAGCAGAAAGGAATCGGTCCATGTAGTTTATAGACAAATATGCACACAGAGGTCCAAAACTGAAACGGGAATGAGCCTGTTAAACCAAACAGATCATTAGCACTGAACAAAATGATCAATAGAGGAGAATTTAGAACCCCAAAAAGCACTAGGAAACTCCAAAAGAAAACCAAAAGGACGCAATGCAATCACCTTACAGAGTGAGGTTTATCACTAAAAAGTAATGAGATGGCAAAAATGCAAGTCCAATGTCGGACATCTAAGAATAGGGTAAAAAGAAGTGAAAAGCATATAAATCCAATTAGCGTCAGCCAAACCTAAAGGAAAAACAGAAAGATCCCAGTAGCCAACCCATTTCATACTATGTGTTGATGTAATAAAAGGAGGAATCAACAATAAAAGCACGATTACCCATTTCATCAAACACAAAGCTAAATGATCACAGCAACATCAATTCCTCTAAAAGTGAAAGAAAACATCATCAAAATTCAAAATACCTTCCTAAAAGTTTATCAGAACTCTAGACTTCAATGGGATTCGAAATCCATTTTGAAAAACTAACACCAATCTCATCCAAACAATGAAAAGAAAATCTGGATGAATAGGAAAAGCAACCCACAACCGTTTTAGACCATTTATGAATATCAACTACTCAAACAAACAAATAATAGTAAGAAAACAATTATCAATTGTTGCTCATGAACCAACCTTTACAATCCAATCAACAGCCTCCTCTCTAGCCCCCAAGCCCAAGTCGCCAGTCTTCAAACTTTTCAAATAATCACTAGCAGGCAAATGTTCACATTCGCTTTGAATCATCAAAGCTAAGCACTCATCACTCTGCATTGGCAGATCAGTAAAACATTCTTCATCAATAAAGCTATGATTTTGATCATTATTTCTATGATTTCTGCCATTCCATTCATCATCAAACTCCACATCCGCTTGATCAACATCGTCATAAAGAACACTAATGTTATCTTCTGCACAAAGAAGGCTTGATACTGCACAATCAATACTGGGTGCCATTGCGATTCCTCAAAACTTTGTGTTACCTTGAAACTCTTTCTCTAAACACACTTTTCTATATTGCTCTAGTTGGATATCATCTTGTCAAATAATAGAAACCTGGCAAATATTCCTTGGTTTTCTGGGATAGTATGAATGAAGTGAGGAAACAAAAATGAAAATGCAATAAGAACAAGAAAAGTTCAAGGAATGAAAGAGTTTCCCTCTCTCTTTATCAGGGTGGGACTGAAAAGATTGCTGCAAGGGAGCGGCTTATGTAGAAGAAGTGGTGTCCCTTTTGTGGTTTTAGGGTAGAGAAAGAGAGGGGAAGAGAGGAGTGGCACCAATGCAAGAAAATGAGCTTGCAAGGTGTATATATTGACACGAAGAATAGGGAAATTGCAAGATTTAGAGAGAGAGAGAGAGAGAGAGAGATTCGTTGGACACTCATGTCCTAATCAAATTGACTGATGAACGCGTGGATTAATGAATAGAATTAGTGGATTTCCATTAAAGCTTTTTGGTGGCAAAAGTTTTTATGAAATTGATTTCTTTGAAGAAATTGGCTCTATTGTTTTTCATGTCCCATTACGTGGAGGTTTTATGGCCTGATCGGTAGAAGAGACAAAAAAATGAGGTTTAAAAAAGTATGAGGGATAGTTTTCCTCCGTAGAGAAATTTTTTTTGTTTGGTACGATGAATAAATTAATTTTTCATTGTTCGGAGAAAAAATGAAAGGAAAAGAAACATATGCAAATTTTATTTACCATTATACCCTCACTAATAAAAAATATTTTTATTACTAGTAGACTTTTCAAGATTCGAAAATGTTATAAATCTCTCCATTTTGCTATAAAAATTAACAAGTATATACAAAAATATATCTAATTTTTCGTCCACTTTTTTTTGTCGAATCAACTGAATACATGGGCTAAAATATAATGCTGGTATTTTTGAGAAATTTGTCGAAATTAATTGAACAGAGATATAATGCTTGTGTTTGTGCTATTTTCTCTCCTTTTCCTTTAGTAGGAAGAATATAAAATACGAGGATTGACAAAAAAATAAGAATACATTAAAAAAATATGAAATTATTTCTATTGCATCAAATCATGTGGTAGAAATATAATCAATGTATGAAAATGGAAAAAATATGTGTATTGTAAAAACGCAAAATTGAACATCTAACCTGTTAGTAGTTTTGAGGCTATTCATATCGAATAGCCTTAGGGTGTGTGTGTGAGTTATATGGACGTTATGTCACTTCTGCTTTTAAGTAAAAATATTGTAGTTTTTCTCTTATAAAAAAAAAAAAAAAACCTACTAGTAATCACCCCAATGTCTACACGTGACTAATTTTTTTCCAAAGTACCAACTTGAAACACATGGATGGACGTACAAGCTTTAAATGGCATATTAGTAAATTGACCCAACACCACTGAAGTTCTCCATTTTTCTCTCCACTTTTCGCCCAAAAGTGGGTGAATTTTTTTTGGCCGATGGAGTGGAATACCTTTCCATCTTTTTTTTTTTTCATTTCACCTTATTTTCTTTCCATACTACACACGGAAAAGTATTTCCGTCCCTTTCATTTTTCATCCACTTTTTTTTATCAACCGATTTTTTCATCTTATTGAACAGAGGGTTAGTTTATACGAAATTCCAAAAATAATCTTATCAAATTATTTGACCCTTGTTTTTAATCTACTTTTTGTTTAGTCTATCATTTCTCAATTCTAAGATATAACACTCGGGGGTAATTTCTTTCCATACTCTAACCAAATATAAACATATTCCTGAATTAATAATAATACCTTTCTAAAGAGGAACATTTGTGTTTTTATCGAAAACTAATAAAAATATTTTATGCTAATGAAGTAACTATTTTTTCGATGAGAAATTTGTATATCGTGGTATCAAAAATATTTACTTAGTTTAATATTTATAATATACATCGGCTAAGGCTTTGTATCTCAATATTTTAAATAAAAAATTAAGGAGTAAAAAACCAATCATAAAGTAAGAAATAATCATAATACCCTTTTTAAGCAAGAGATTTTAGTTCGATATTTTTCATATTTTTTAAGAGTCAATCATTCTTATTCCTTATAAAACATGTCTTTAAATTAGTTTGAATTGCGATAGTCAATTTAAAACTCAAAGAAATAATTAACATAAACTTAAGACACCCTAAAAAAAAGAAAAAGAAAAGAAAGACATAATGCCCCATTCTATGAACAAACATTCCAAATCACTGCCCCATTTAGTCTCAAAGTCCAAAAATCTATGTGGGGGAATTAAAGGGTTCTCTTTATACTGTCCAAAGAAACAAAAAAGAAATGTCCTTTTTCTTTTTGTTACTTTTGGGCGCGTCTCTCTCTCTCTTTGGGCCTGTTATATCAAAAGTACAAAATTTTCCTATTATTCAGCAATGACTGTTTGATTAAGACAGTATGGAGTGATTATAACTTTGATTTTAGTTAGTCTATGTTAAAATGGGGATTAAGTGAAAGTTTCACAACACCATACATTTTCTTCTTCTCGAGTGCATTAACAGGGATCATTGAAATTGAGACATCGAAAACATAAAAATGTTGTGACTGCGTTGATATGAAAAAATAGTCTTACTATAAATAAAAATTTCGGAGTATAATCCACCAGCATAAGCAATTGTCAAATTTCATCACCACAAATATTACAACTACTTCTTGCCTAAGGTGCGGTAAGAAGTAAACCTGAACCATTGAAATTAAAACTTAGAAAAAATAACTACGTGGTGATAGTAATAGGTATGACTAGCGTTGCTATAGATAAAAGTTTCGTACATTATGTATGACCCATTGACATGAACAAGGGTCGACTCTCGTCACTATCACTACCTCCTCCCTTAGGTATAATAGTAAGTGAATGAATCTTTAGGTCCAAAAAATGTCTGCAACACAAAATGAATGCCAAAAACTTGAATTTTTCTCCCAAACTTCATTTATCAACTTGAGATTTAAATATTGCACTTCATCTAGGCAAGAATATTGGCATAATTTCAGTCAAATCTGTAACTTTAATCTAAACTAGTCCAAGAATCATGGGAACTTAGAAACCTGTGACTTCATAATAACCCAGATGGGATTAAACCAATGAAATGGTTCTTCATTAATCATCCCCACAGCTTAGCATCAATTTTTATGGTCTATGAACAAATCACCAAAGTACTTTCATACAATCATGTTGTTCTTCAGTCTAAATTGACCAAGTTCTTTTCACTCTCCTCAGTCATAATTATCCGTTTCAAGGGTAAGTTTTTGCTGAACTCGGGTAAATCTGGTTCAAGCTTAGGATCCTTCATATGCTAAAAATCAGATTTCTGAAAGAGACTTTAGGACGCAAATTTCAAACCCTTTTCCTCAAATTCTTTGAAGAAAATGCTCTTTTCTATGTCTCTTTTGCAGTTTTTTTTTCATCCTAAAATTCTCTTTGGACCCAAGAGTGTGTGAAGCCATATGATCATGTCAGGTTGTTAATTCTGTGTCAATGAATCCCCTTTCAGCTGACCTTTTTTGAGAGCAGAGAAGCACGAGTAAGGGCAGAGGCAGAGGCAGAGGCCCCCCCTTCCCACTCTTCTCTTAGGACTTTTTAAAGTCTGGTCTAAAGATGGTCTTACTAGTATTGTTTGAGATCCGAGCTCTCCAGGGTGTCATTCATACCCATTGCATAGTTTTTTAACCCCCCCCCCCTCCCCCTACTTTTGTTTTTTGTTTTCTTTTTTACTTTGCTGCAAACCCGATGTTAGGTCTTCTGTTAGGCATATGGCCATATTCCCCTCTCTCTCTCTCTCTCTCTCTATTAATTGCACCGAAGATCCTCAAAATATAGGATTTATCTCATTTTGGCCTCCAAAATTTTAATTACATCATTTAATCTTTAAAGTATTGAATATATTTTTATATGATTCCTCAAACAGATAACATCTAAATTATTAATTATTTTTAATCATAAACATGTCATGTGATACCAAAGTATAGGCAAACACATTATTTTGATAGGTGTTAACCAAAATTTTAGTAACTCATGACAAAAAATGTGTAATTTGAGTAGTTCGTTGACCAAAATTTGGTCAACATCTACCCAAATTATTTTTACTCATATTTAAGTATCACGTTACAAGTTTATAATAAAAAAATATTAATAATTTAGACGTTATCTCCTTGAAGGACTAATAAAAACATATTCAAAATTCTAAGGGCTAAAATAATAAAATTAAAATATTGAGAATCAAAATGAGAAAAATCTCATACTTTGGAGACCTCTAGTGCAATTAATCCTATTTATATATATATCAATATGTGTGTATGTGTCACTCCTACTGTATATCTTAATGCAGGAATACGTGAATAGACCAAACATATTTGACAATAGGCTTGGGAAATGTGAATTGCTTTGCGCATTTGAAGGGGGAGTTTTGTTCTACGATCTACAAGAGCTAGTTTACATTAGACTCTCTTTTTTAAGTTGTTTACCGGAATTTTGATTTAAGGGTTTTATTTTTTTTTTTACAATAATTATAGAAAGTCTACGAAGGGAAGCAGGAAAATCCGTCGATTTTGCATGCACTAAGGTTATTGCATTTGGCCATCCAATTCGAAACATTTTCAACTAGTCCAGCACAATGGTCCCCTATCTCATTAAAACGGAGGATGACTTGTATCTATTAAGTGTAGAAGTTGACTGTAACCCACGTTCCCGGTGCTCCGATCATCCATCGTATCTTAGGTGTCTCCACGTCACGGTCTTACCCAAGTAAATAGTAATTCTTAAGTAATCAGTTTTAGCTGGCAACTTAATTGTCTTGGCTGTGCTCTTGGAGTCCTGTTTGTCTGAGGAAGGGACCACAGCCACATTTTTTTAGGGGGGGAACAGATCCACTGTTCAAATTTTTGGGGTTTCTTGTCCATTTTGGGAATGTTAATGCTGAAGTTTATATTAGTCAAATGCACTCTTAGTGTAGGAGTGCCATGGAAAGTATT